AGACGGTGGAACGCCCCCCTCGGTGGGTCCCGAGGTCTATTTGCATCCTTTTAACGCACGTCTTGGGGGCAGGAAGAAAGATGAAATCCAGCCTTGTGGAAGTTGATGGGAATTTGCTTTAACGAGGCCAGGATTTCACGCACGGTGAAAGGGCTTAAAAAGGGATATCGTTTCCAAAAACAGCTCCTTCTCTCCCCCTTCCCCCAAGGAAACAACTTGCAGGGATCCTGTGCTGATTCAGAGGTGCGGGGTGAGTCAGTGCCCGAGCTGTCAGTGCGTAACGCTGTTATCAGCTGCAGTTTCAAGATCCATGGTTAAGGTAACAGAAATGAGAGGGACAGATTTCAGCCCTGCCCTCCCCCCCCCACCACCCCTGTTCAGGAAAAAATAAGCTAACCTTATTTTTATGGAGCTTCTCAAATAGGTATTAATTTGTCTGTCCTGAAAGATAAAAATCCTTTTATTTTTATTATTTCATTTTTATAATTACAATGATTTATTGCAGAGAGGGTTTTTTTTGAGAAAAACATGTAAATTACTGTCTTCCCCTGAAATCATATCGCTCGCTTTATTAGAAATATTAGTGGGTCATTAAAACTTTTATTTCATCTGTTTTGATGCCTTAAATGTTGAGAAGGAATCTGAGCCTGTATCCAGTGATTTAGCTCTTAGTGTTTTGTAAGACTGAGGGACTGGCAAACGTTCTTAAATGTCAGGTGGGGGAGGGTTAAAAGATTTTTTTCTGGAGTAAATAGAGCATTTTCTTGTCTAAATTAGACAATCATATGTTATATGAGTGTCCTTTTAATAGGAATCATTAAACAAATGGAGAGGCCTCATTACAGAAACATTACCATAAATCATCATATTCCTACAGTATAATTTCTGTATCAGAAGTAGTGGGGCCTCTGTTTAACAGACCCCTTAAGCGTATGCTTAAATCCATTTTTGCTCACAAAGAGTTTTACCTGTGATTGCAGTGATACCATAACTGCGCGTGTCACTGATAGTCATAGGATTTTTATGTCTTTGTCATATGTAAAATCTGTAAACTTATGTTGGAAGGCTGTGTTTGCATAGCCATGACGTGATTTCTAAGACAAAAGTCTTATGCTGCTGTAGAACAATGCTCCCTCATGATATTTTATATCATTGATTCTGTATCAGAGCTTTTTTGCACTTAAATTATCCCCAAGAACTATTTCTGCAGAGATTGTAAGTTTCAGAATAAAGCATCTCTTCTGTTTTGTTTTGGGTTTTTTTCTAATCTAAAATTGTATCTTTTGCATTTTTTTGCTCTGATCATGACTTTCCCTCTGTGGTTCCCAAAACAAACAGCTGGCTGAAGTAGGATTGCCCTTATTTGTTCAACTGGTTTTGAACAGCAGCTCTCAAAAACGTGGATAGAAAAAGGAAATACCAAACATGCATTTGATTTGCAATCTTACAATTTTAAGGATTCAGTTCTATCGCTTAAAACGTTAGGTGTAGATAAAACAGTTTGTTCTGTTCGTGCGATCCATAAATTTTTAAGGCCAGAAGAGACCATTAGGACCAACTGACTTCCAGCACAGAAAAGGTCAAAGACCCAATAGTATCTGCATCGAGTCCACATCTCCTGTTCAGGCCAAACTATGTGTTTTAGAAAAATGGCCTGTTTTATCTGGACCTTTGTAAAACCACTCAAGCTACTTACTGGCTTTAGCTGATCTACTTGCTTGAGTGCACAATTTTCAACTATCTTGAAACAGTATTGGAGAATGCTTCAAAATAATTATCTGACTCTAAAACCTGTGCTAGGCGGGTGCAGGATTATTATGGCTGTGGTTGGAGATAAGCGTCCTCAGAGAACCAGTAAGGCAAAACCAGACAATTCCACAGACTCTCAGCTGTGTTGACACAATGGAAACACTTTGCCCATTGTCTGTGAAACGTTTGTTTTTTCAGATATATTCTGGACACAAGCATCTTTCCAGCTGCCGTAATAACCTCCTGTCCTGTGTTTTCATGTCTTTTGATTGGATCATTTGGCAGGTTTCCATGGGCAAAAGTAGGGGGAAATGTGTCTTTTCCTCAGTGGGTTTATATGGTACTTTCTCAGAAACTTGCTTCTGACCTCCTGTTAGAGTTGGTGTGGACAAATTTTCAGGAACGGTGGACAGCACTTGTCCCCTGGCTGGGTGAGACTGGTGGAGCAGAGATTTCAGGTGAGAACATTATTCTGGTACAGCTTGCAGGGCTGGTGGTTTTGAAAGACAACTCTTCAAAAGCTAATCCACCAGAAATCAGTCTGCCTTAGGCAGAAATTGCTCCCCTGATCCTACGCCAGGGAATGATCTCAAAGTTAAGGATGCCTGCTCTCTCGCTGTGACAGCCCATGAGCTTTCTTGCAGCTCTAAAAAAGCGACGAAGGGTGAAGCAGCAATGCAGCTCCAGAGCAATCACCTGCCATGTGGGATGTGGAGCTCAGCCTCCAGCATGGCATTGAAAAGCTTAAGATTTCCTCCACCAGCTCATTAAAGCATGTGAGCTTCTGCATTTATTTCAAAAGGTTTGAGTCAGGCATTGCCCCCTTAGCTAACAGCAGCTGCATCATCTTAGGTTTCAGCATGGACAAACGCACAACACAGGGAAGCACTGGATCCTATTAGCTCTTCTCTAGACAGAATCATTTTTAATTCTGGTGCCAGGGTCTCCTGCCCCAAGACCCCTACTCTGCTGTGAGACTTGAAGCAACTCCCACCCTCCCTGATGCTCCGTGTGAAGTGTGTCAGAGCTGCCACAGGGTGCCAAGATACATCATGGCCCTACTCAGCTTCACGCTGGATGAACAATGCTGGAGCAAAGCAAATAGGTTTCCTCGGATGACGCTTTCTCCCAGACATGTGGAGATGATCCCAGCACGAGGCATTAGGGTTACATGAGACACCCGTTAGTTGTGTCAGCTGCAGTGGGATGAATTTTATGTCAAAGTGAGTTTGCACAACTGGAAATGTAAATTTGTTGGGTTTTTAAGAATATCAGCTGAAAGTACTGCTATTAGATGAGATATGAAAGAACCGACTTTTCCTCCACCAGAGGATGCCACTCAGGAAAGTTGCTTGCCTGCCCTCTCTGTTTCTCTTTTCCATAAAAGAAAAAGCTGACCCACCCACGAAGTCCTCAATGTCTGTAGACGCTGTTGAGAGGTCGGGTAGCGCACTCTTATAGCAAATGCCAAGCTTCTCTGCTCACTCAGATCTGTGTCCTGGCCCTCGGTGCTCGCCTGGCCACCAGAAGGGATGGCACAGCAGAGGAGAAATCTCCAGCACCAGTGGCTAGTACCTGTATCACACTGCACCACTGCTGCGGTGCCGAGAGCCGACTGCGGCTGGGAGTCTCACATCCAGAACAAGTGTTTTACCATTGAGACTTCGGAGATTTGATCCTTACCCCATTCTTTTGTATGATTTTTTCCTCCAAGACCCAGTAGTGGTCTTCACTTCTTCTGAGTACCTTGAGGCATGTGTTAGACTGGAGGCTGGCTGTGCACTTTCAAGCCTCAGTCAGACTGAGGATTTCCCAATAAGAGGGGGCAAGGGGGTAATCTATTTTCCAGTTACATTTGGGTGTGATGGTCTGCAAGAGCTTCAGCTGCTACAGCCCTGGAATTCAAGCCCTGAGTGAATTCATCCTTATCTTTATCTGGTGAATATGTTCATACACCGCCCACCTTGGTTTTACCGCCTGCCAGCTCTGAAGCAGAGCTCGTTGGCTTGCACCATAGACTCAAGCTTCATGGATTAATTCCTCCAAGTGACATTACTCATAAACATAGAGATTTGCCAGGGCAGAGCTTTGATGCGGGGCTCTCTAACCATCGGCTGTTTGCAGTTCATCAGGTGGCAGAGCGTGTGGAGGCGCTGGGCCAGTTTGTGATGAAGACCAGGAGGACCCTGAAGGGCCATGGAAATAAAGTTCTCTGTATGGACTGGTGCAAAGACAAGAGAAGAATTGTGAGCTCTTCCCAGGTATGCTGTTAGGCAGATGTTTTTCAAAGCTACTGTTGGGCACTATACAAATCTTTTGGCTGTACTATGTGCCACGCTTTGCAGGTGATACCTGTGTATATTGTAAATGTTTTCAAGGGTTCATTGGCAATGTATTTGTTCCAAGCTTCTGATCATTGCTACACTTGTTGTAGCTAATACCCTAAATACTTCTTGTCCAGTCATATACAGATTTTCCCCATATTCCCTACTACAATAGAAAATAGACAGAACTCATCTGAGGCCACTTTTATTTCCTTGTTCTTTACAGATAAAATACTTAGTAACGATTTCAGTTTATGTGTTCAGAGAAAATAATCAGGGGAAGGGAAGAAATGTTGATTCTTCTAGAGATTTCTGTGTGCAGAAATTTCTTCTGCGGTCTGTATGATTGGTGCGGCCTTGAAAGCCTCAAACATGCTGCCAAAATTACTGCATTTACTTGGGCATTTTGAGAAACAGTCCTAACACCTGCTCGAGACCAGTCTCATGACCTGGAGGAGGTAATGAGGTAATTACTTGCTAGATCTCCTGGTTTGTCCTGAGCCCCGTGTGTGGCAGTGAGTGAGCTTGTTTGCATCTCACAGCTGTTCATTGACCTATATGAAATCTGTCAGGGGTCTCACTTGAGGGATAAAAATAGGCAATCTGCATTGCAAGCCACCTTCAGTTACTGTGAGTTTTTACCATTCATGGTGATCTCAGCAAAGAGAATAATTTTAAATAATTAATGTCACTTTTTTTAAAGTGGTTGCAATGTTAGCGTGTAGATCAGAAAGCCGAACAGGCAAGTTGTAATGCGTTTTTGCATTTTTTACTCTATTTTAAGAACTGTAGTAAGTCCAGGTACAGCAACAATTGTTGCTCAGTAATAAACATTTCGCTTTCATGATATGGGGAGGATAACAATATTATGTGCATAAGGCAAAGTAGCTGCATGAGTGTAGCTGGCATACACAAAGGGATTGTGTTGCTCTCTGTGGAGTGTTCCTATGATGGCTATTTAGCAGATTGTATCAATGGATAATTGAAGGTTAAGTAAGTGTAGTGAGAAGTAAAGGGAAGATCAGGAAAAAACAGGAAAGGGAAGATGAGTAAACAGTGCAATGTCCATAAATAGTCCGCATGAGTGCTGCCAGCTCAGCCAGTGATTTGTAATACAGGTCACCTCTTGTATTTGTAAGGCCCCGTACGGAGCCACTGACAGATATCATTTGGGAGGGGTGACCGGCTTTGCAGGTGGTGATTACGGGCTGGGAGAAACACATCATGGTTGAAAGGAGGCAAGCGAGGGCTCACTAGTGGCAGTTTCCTGAGGAGACGGTCCTGTCCATGGCGTGTGCTGCAAGTGAGAGGCGTTCTCATAAACCCGCTAAAAGGGAAGGGAAAAAAATAAAAAAATAAATTGGTCTTCTAAGCCGACATCTGTTGTCTCAGTGAGGAGGAGATACGCTTTTCTTCTGGTCAAAGACAGAACTCGCGCTACTGAGGAGTGTCTCCTCGGTGCTTCGCTGTGACCATTGTGCTGTTGTAAAAACAGAGACAAAAATTTCATGAAATAACAGACTGGGGGGTGGAAATGAGCAGCAGAGTTTTCCCCAAATCTGGGAAGTAGGCTGACAGCCATGTCTCTGGGAGGCCTCAATTTCTCTCTCTGTTTATGTGCTTTCATTTAGGATGGGAAGGTGATCGTGTGGGATTCTTTCACTACCAACAAGGTAAGTGAAACTTCAGCAGAAGTCAGATTTCTGTGCACAGGGCAAATGATGGTGGGATAAGATGGAGGGCTAAAGGGCTCACAGGTGTCACAGGAGGCAGTGGGATGATGGGATAACATGCAAACCTCCACCAGCAGCTCAAACCAGGGGGCCCAGGGCAAACCAGCTCCCTTGACCTGTCTCTGAGCAAAGTCCCTGTCAGGGCACTGGGGTTTGTCATGGTCTCCAGTGGGAGACGCTGATCTAGCCTCTTCGCTGACAGGGAGGGCTCCCGGCTGGGGGCAAAGCCCAGCCAGCAAAACAGAGGCCCTCCCTGGGTAACCCCTGTACCAGGTGCCATGTGTGATCACTCGGGAACCTTCAGCAGTGGTGTTCACTGTGAAATGGTGTCGCTGCTCCTCCGAGCCCTGCCAGGGCTGCCTCGCGGCACCCTGCTCCACACAGCTGAGAAAAAACAGCTTGTTTATAACTCACTTTTACACATACCGCAGTGGGGACCTTTTACAGCACTGAGTAATCCAAATAAAACATGCTCTGTGATCAGTTTGGGGCTTGTGAATAAGGTGGAAAGTGTCAGGGAGGGACTCGCCATCTTCCTGCTGCTCTGCTGGGTTCTGCAGTAAGGGTTCTCCCAGCCTTACACGTGAGTTATGGCTGGGGGAAACACCTGTACCTTTCACTGACCCTAAGAATGTCCCACAGAAATACTGAACTTACTACTCTACACTGTTTTCCTTGCACCGATTAGAGAAACAGTGACATCCCAGTTTAAAGAGATGCTGTGTTTCAGGAGCATGCAGTGACGATGCCGTGTACCTGGGTGATGGCGTGTGCGTATGCCCCATCTGGATGTGCCGTTGCTTGTGGGTAAGTTCCCAGTTTCCGCAACTGCTTACACAGAGAAGCTTGATTTGTAGTGGTGTCCTGGTGCCTTCAGATGATGACAGCTAGAAGTTTGTGTGCGTTGATTGTGGGTGGAAGGACTACATTCAGTGCCTCCTGATTCTATTCCCATAATGGCTTGTACACATTATCTTCACTGACTTCAGTGCAATAACATTTGTTGTGCAAGCATGGAAAATAATCCTCTTTCAGCATTTACATCATGGGTTAGGAATTCTGCATGCATGCAACTTCCCTGCTCCAGTTTGGTTGTGTGTGTTGGACATATCTTCTCAGGGAGAGTGGTTTTAACCCTGTTCGTTCTTTGCACTCTTTCTTCTACAACGTAGAGAAGGTTAGTCATTAATGATTACCAGCACATGAATAGATCTTGCCAAGATGGAGTGGGGAGAAGTAACCCCATCCTTGATAATCTTCTCCAAGTTTTCTGAGAGCTCAGGTTTGAAAAAACTGAATTTATGCTGGGGAAAAAACAAACGGATGAGGTGTTGGCAAAACATCTTTTAAAAAGGGACTAGGTGGATCAGACAGACGAAGCAAGCTTGGGACAAGAGAAAGGAACAAAGGGAGACTTTACTGTGCAGCTTGCAAATCTAGAAAGCAGCAGACTGAGACAGACAGGCAGACTCCCTCAGTGTGTGTGGAGAGGGAGTCTAGAAACTATGTTTTTGACTAAAACTCAAAGAATGGCAAGAAAGCTCTGTCTTCACGCTTGTAAGAGAGACAGGGAGGGCATGTATGCATTGCACTACCTAATTCTGTATTTCTGTTGTGCTGTCAGTTAAGTGCTGTGCATGTAATACAAGGCACAGAACCAGCACCTGGTGGTGTGCCGGGATCGCAGGGACCAGGGCAGGGCTGATCTACCACGGCTGTAGGAAAGGGTCAGACACAAGTCAGACCCTTTAGAAAAGAGTCCCACATCTGGCCTGGGAGACACAGCTTAACTGGTGCAACTGTCCAGGAGGGGCACACCAGCTACAGAGGTCCGTGCTTCTGTTGCCTTTTTTCCAAACTCTTCTAAAAGCCATGTCTTCGCTCTCACTGCTTGCTATACCGCCTCTTCCATAGGAGTTAGGTCAAATTTATTAAGGTAGATAAATAATGGTGCTTAAGTACGGATCCTCGCGATGACGGATGTCAACACAAAAATGGCAGTTTGGCTGTATGTGAAACATGAACCCTGAGGTGACTGCTATGTCACCTCCCAGTTTATACTTTCGTGAGGTTTCATTCAGTGCCATTTATAAACTCGATGAGGGTAAAAAATACTGAGGCGCAGCTGTTCAAGTTCTGTAAAGCAGCCAGCCTGGTGAGGCAGCTGGGGCTTCCCTGCGCAGGGAGATCCCGGGCAGCACAATACAGGGAAGTCGGTACTTGTAAGGGTTTGGCAGCGCAGCACTGACAGGTGGTTTCCTTCTTATCACCACTCGCCTTTTGTCGTTGCAGTTTTAACCAGTTCTCCTCTCTCTGTTATTGCTATTATTACTCTCTTTAGTGGCCTGGACAACAAGTGTTCTGTGTACCCTCTGACATTTGACAAAAATGAAAATATGGCTGCAAAGAAGAAATCGGTTGCAATGCACACAAACTACTTGTCTGCCTGCAGCTTCACTAACTCAGACATGCAGGTAAATGCATTCCCTACCCACTGCTCACCGTCCAGCAACACCTAACGTGAGCCGCACTCATACGCGGTGCAAGTAACCTTCCTTGCACCTGGGGCACCCAGGGCCACGTCCTGCCCCGTGCAGGGGCTGCTGGACAACCCTCGCTGGGGGCAGTGAAGGTGCTGCAAAAGCTGCTGTAAGGACATGCTTGTCACAGCCCGTGACCAGGCTGTCATGCCTGCGCCCTGCAAAGGCCTGTCCCTTCTGCAGAGGGAGCTCGTTGGTACCTGTGTGTTCTCTGCTCGCTGGGTCTGTGCTGGCTTGTGCTTTTAGGAGCTCAAACTAATACAAATAGGTAAAAACCCAGGTGAGATAGGACTAGGTTGGGTGTGTGCTGTGCCAGCCAGTGGAGACTGTGTTGTTTGCCTGCTTTGTCCTGGACGTCCAGCCAATTTTGCTTTCATTCTTAATATTTTTTGTTTGTACCAAGTGAGATATTTGAGCTTGAGGATGGCCCCACAGAGCCAGCCCTGTTGTCCGTACATGCAGTGGTGTGTTCCCTCAAGGGAAAGGAGTGATGCTATCCCCATCTCGCAGCCGGGGGGGGTTGGAGCACAGAGGGCCACAGTGGGAGACGATGGCAAAGCCAGGAACTAAATGCAGATCTTCTGAGACCAGGCCAGCCTTCCTCTGTAGTGAATATCTCAAAGATCTCGTTCTCCGGGAACACGAAAGATGATGAAAGGAGCCAGGATAATCCCCTTGTCCTCTCTGGTTTTTGAATTTAATTGAAGCTCTGCTCAGTGCAGATCTGCAGGAGAATAAGTGGCAGAAGGGAGCATTTTCATTGCTCTCTGTATCAGCAGAGCTGCTGGAAAGGGAATACCTTGTCCCCTTCTTCCAGATATTTGGAGCTCTTCTGAAGGAAATATCAGCTCTCGTTGCTTCTATTTCAGGACACGAGATGCCCGAGAGTGTGTTGTTGTTTGTCGTTCTATGGTGTCTGTAATGACTCCAAGGTGCTAATTTAAGTCCATTGCCATGGACAAGTGGTAGAGGTATCCAGCGCTCAGGCTTGCTTAGCCTTGACCTTACTGTGCAGGAGCCCTGCGTAATTAGAGCAGTCTAAATTAAGTAGAATGTTTTTGATGAGGTAGAAAACCAGTATTCTCTTTTCTTGTCCATACCTATATGCATCGTGATTAAATCCTATGAAAGGAAAAATAGTTTGTTTATTTTTCACAATTAAAAAAGAAAGAAAAGTTGGGTCTTTTTTTCTCCATATTAAATACAGCAAACTGCACTGATATTGAAGGTAATGTATTACTATTGTTAAATAATACCACAGTGGATTTAGGTGCTTTATATTCAGTGATTCAGAGATTTTTCTGAAGACTTCAAAAAGAAATTTTCTTGTGTTTAATAGGCTTATAAGTGATCATTTGTAGCACTGCACATTATTATTGAAACAAATACAAGCGAGTGGATTGGCCAGGCTTCTGTTAGGACACTGTTATGTAGGGGACTGCAGAGAATCCCAGATTTCTTATCTTTTTCCTTTTATATAACAGCCTCAGAATTAAAATTATTCGGTAACTGAGGGTGCACAGTGCAACAAGCACACTGTGCAGGAGCTTTCCCAGCTGCGTGTGGAGCAGCTCTGCTCTCCTGGCTCGCGTCACCGAGGGATGCGGTACCTGTCCTGGAGCAGCCCCAGCGCGTGGTGGAGGTGTCCCCCAGCCCAGTGCCCCCGCAGCGCCCAGTGCTAGGTGCTGTGAGTGCTGCTGCTCTGCCTTGGCTGCTCTCTTAAACTACAGCTCGGTTTTCCCGCAGAGGAATGAAAGACAGGGTAGGAGTTTAGGAGCTGGTGCGCCCATGGGCATCTGGCGGTGCAGTGGAAAGAGAAGGAGATCTGGGGGTGATTCATCATTGATTAAAGCCACTCTCAGGCTGTGTGGGTGCTGAAAGGGGGGGTCCCATCCTTGCTCCTCGTCATGTTCCCACCCTGGGCCAAGACAAGTGCTGAGCTGCAGGGCTGGGCAACCTGCGCACCTTGTTCTTGGTGCCCCAAATCAGTCTTGCCAGAGAGAGCATCCCCCGCCTCAGTACGCAGAGAGCCAGGGAGCCGTGCTTCCTAAATTAGGTATCTGCAGCTCTGCGGTGTGATAATGCTCCCCACGTGACAATGCTCCATGTGTATTAATAGCAACAGTTAATTGGGATCTCAAGTGTTTTGCATAGGGCAGGCAGCCATGCTCCCAGTGCGGCAGGGCTGAGAAGCAGGATGAGGCCCATGGCGATGGCGGAGGAGGCAGAGGTAAGTGTGGCCCCTCTGCCCTGGCCGCTGCTCCCAGCCCCGGTGCGTGTGCTCCTGGCGAGCAGGGGCTGTGTCCCTGCTGTCCCCTAATGTCTGCAAGTGCTGCGTCTTGCCACCAGGCGCCAGGCGAGGATCCCCGTCCAGCGCTGCCAGAGCCCCTCGTGCAGCAAGCCGGACTCTAATAGCAAAGATTGTTAATTCTCTTCTGGTTTTGGATTTTTGGAGGGGTTTTTTTGTTTGGTTTTGTTTTTTTCAATAGCAATACCCTGAAGTTGAGTCCATAACATTTCTCTTTAAGCATTAGCTGGAGCTCTGGGTTGCCAACAGACCCTTCCCTTACACCTTTAGCTACTCCTGTTCCCCTCCTATCTTCCTTACACACTGTTACAAGAGCAAATTCTCAGAGCTGAAAGTCTTCATTCCTCAGCCAAGTACAAATATTCCTCAGAACAGAGAAGTTCATTGATCTAGGCTCAAAAGCTGGCCAGAAAGACAAGTCAGGACTTTCTTCTGCTATTATCATCTCGGAGTATTAGCGTCTCTCTACTGCAGGATTCGGAACAGTCTGTTCTGCAACTCTGCAGACCTCTGTTTATGGGAGGAGTTTTTGGAGCATCTGTCAAACATGTTCAGTATTTAACCTTTATGCAACTCTGTGAATGGTTTCATGATTGTGGGATCATTTTCTTCTTGAAGGGTATTTTCTTTTTAACTTCTAACTACCCACTGGGATCCCTTGAGTTTCCTCACCGACCATGAGAAAAACCTGTGTACAAGACTGAGAGCCCTCCTAAGTTCACCCTTGCCTCCTTCCACACCAGCGCACAGGGACCCTTTCAACCTACAGAATTTGTGATTGCATAACAGCTTTGGGTGCCAAGGGGAAATATTGAACAATTGAGCATCATCAGGATTTAGCCACAATAACAAGTGCTGATCACATGTGCTTTCTACAAGCACTGTAGCAGATGAGGGAAGCTGTGAGCTGTGTTCGGCCAGTGTATGTTCAAGCCCTTTCACACACAGATGGTTTTGGACAAGTGAGAGGTGATGGACTTATCAAACAACTGTCTAGACAGGCTTACTTCCCTTTCAGAAAATCCATGTCTTAAGCCCAATTAATTGGGTTTAACCTGGCTATTTCAAGCAGAAAAAAAATTTAGAGAGTTAAACAGGTATACTTAACTCCAACAGTTCTTCTCTTTACCCGGGTTGAATTTCAACAGCCTAAATATGGATAGGGTTAAATACGGGGGCAGACAGGAATACCAGTCTGGTTCATCCTCCTTTTTGGAGGGTATGGAAATGCCAGCAGATCCTTACTGCCATCAGTTCTCCGAACCCAACTGCACAAAACTGACCATTATTGAAGCTCTGTGTAGGTATAGCTGTGTCATTACAGTTCTCCTTTCCACTCTAACTTCTTTCCTTAAAAATAAAAAACATAAACTGTGCTTAGATTCACATTGGTTTTATGACTTTGATTTATTGCACAATATTTCATTAAATTAAAGCTGTATGTATAGGATGTCAGTTGTTTCTTTGTGAACTTGAAGATCATCTGCTGATCTTTGTATTGTGACTCTTCTTGCCGCATCCTATAGATCCTGACAGCAAGTGGAGATGGAACTTGTGCTCTGTGGGATGTTGAGAGTGGGCAGCTTCTACAGAGTTTCCATGGTCATGGAGCTGATGTCCTGTGCCTAGACCTGGCCCCTTCTGAAACGGGAAATACATTTGTCTCTGGGGTAAGCAGGAGCTTCCTATCGTAATATAAAATTAAGGAACGTGGAAGGGAAAAGGCAGCAAAGCAGGAGGCTCGTGATCTTATTGAGAGAGTGCTGGAGTATGTTTTGGAAGCCCCAGTGCAATCCACTCATTGCAAGCACATTTTCCAAGCTGGAGCAAATTAACCCCCTGACTGTGGGGTCAACCCCCCCCAGCCAGTCTGACTGCAGTTCTGCTTACTTAGCAAATTCCACCCAACACCAAAGCAGTCCAGCCTGAGATCAAAACAACGCCTCTCCCGGGAAGGGAAAGGCTCAGAGTTAGAGCAGCGGAGGTGTGAGCCCCTGTGGATAGGAGCCCGGCACAGCAGACAACTTCCCACATTTGGCTCCTTTCTTGTGCCCAGCTTTCCGGAGCCGGACGGGGTGTGCCAGGCGGCTGCTCAGGGCATCGAAGCGGGGCTGCAAATAACGTGCGTGCCACTATGTCCCTCAACCTCTCCCCAGAAGCAAAGGGGTAGCTTGGACGCTGGCTAAACCCTCGTACAAGTTGGAGCAGGGAGATGAGGTGTGGCCACATCTTCAGCTGTTGCTGAGTCCCCTGTGCCTTCCAGCGGTACCAGAGGCATGTAAAGCCCCTTCGTCAGTCAAACGCCGCCCGCTCCCTGTCCTGGCCCAGAGGAACACACAAACCTCGCTGGGGCTGCAGGACTGGTTGGGGAAGGTACCCAGGGCACCTTCCAAATCTTGTCCTGCTGCTGAGGGATTGCTGTTCCCGGGCAGCCGAGCCATTGGCATGGAGCCTGGCAGTGAAGCAGGCAAGGCATAAAGGTGAGAGTGGGATGGGGCTCAGCTCCTTTTCGAGGTGGTCCTGGTCTTTCCCACATCAGAAATTGAGTGTGCAGGTGAGAGCTGGCAGGAGCTGAGAGATGACCTCTCTTACTGGAGGCAGGTTGCTACCAGTAACTTTGCTGAAGGTACCTGGTTTCTGAGCCCCACCAGCACTGACCCAGGGCTGTCCTGTGCCTGATGATGGAAATGGCCCTTGTGCCAGAGGGTTCTGACCATGGATTAGGGGATGCCACTTGTTGTGCTCGGAGTCATGGTCCCATCCCTACACAATAAAACTGGACCTCTTCTGTTATGGCTCTCGTAACAAATTTGGCTGGCCCATCAGGAGCAGAGCCCAGCACGCTGGCCCAGTTTGCCTGCTGCTAGCACAGCTGCTCCGAAGCGTGACTGAAAGCTAATTCCATCTGAGTGCATTACTCCTCCCGGGCTTTCCTGTCACTGAGCTTGCTTCCCAGAAAGGATAGATTCATTCTCCCTGGGAACAGCTCAGCTTATTATAGGGCAAAGAATTGCAAGCAGCTATGGTACCACTAGGAGAATATGTCATACTTGTGTCGATGTAGCAGCTTGGGCATGTCCATGCTTACAGGGACTCGCTTAATTCGTCACATGCAAAATACCACTTCAGTGAAGATCTGTCTTATATCGTCTCAACGCAGGTATGGCCAAAACAATGCAACCTGAAGGTATGGTAGCATAGAGACACTCCCTGTATATTGTGCCTATGTAATACAGTAACCTTGAGCTGGAATAAGCAATGTCAATACGTCAGCATGTAGGCTGGGTGCTGTTACATTTAACGACTTAACTGAAAATCCCAGCCCTCCTGGGTGAGCGCAGGGCTGCATCCCAGGCTGTTGTGCTCAGTGCCCTCTGAGCGCTGCTCCTCGGGGCAAGTTGGATAGCACTCAGGGGGCCCATCTCTCCGCAGGTGGTTGCTGGTTTCTCCTTCAATACCTTAGGAATCAAAGCACCAGCTTGTCAGATTGGTCTTGTCCCCAAACTCCCAGAGAGGTCAGTAAGAACAGTGCGCATGGAAGCAATACGAAGGGCTGGGCTTGGGCTGTGGTGGGGCTTGAGAGGGAAATATCCAAAATGTCCTCTATCCTGTTTGGTTTCCCCTGTGCAAAAACCACAAGTTGGTACAAAGGAACATTGTCTCTCTTAAATAATGACATCGTTAGTAAAAAAAACTGGGATTTCATTTTAACAAGAGAATTCAAAAAAAAAGAAAGATGTGAACTGTGAAGAGACTGTTTAATTTAATTAGCAATCATATTTGCTTAAAAATAAATAACATGTGTGACACGGTTTGCTGGGCAGGACGTGCTAGCTCGGCAGAAGCAGCAGCCACCTGGCCTGCCCTGTGCTTCCCATGCAGCCTCAGAGAGGCTTAGCCCCCCGGAGCTGAGCCTACCTACGGCCTGCCCCTCAGCGGGGTCATATTTATTAAAATCTCCTGTCACTCTTAAAGAAAAGTCCGTGTTCTTTTTCCTGTCACCACGATTGTGACAGCAGCGAGACCGCAGCTGTCCTACAGAGCCTGGCCCTACAGGTATGAGATGGTTCCTGCCCCGAGGACATTGCAGACTACATGGGCTGAGGCCCTTGCCCAAAGCATTCAGGGTGCTGAGCACCTTGCAGCAAGCACCACACCGAGTGTTAAAAGATCTTTTCAAAGCACAGCTTGGAAGGGCAGGTTAGAGCTTGACAATGAGATGAAATGCTATTGTGCTTCTTTTCTTATCCCAACCACGCCATTGAGCACGTCCGTGCAGAGCCACGGCAGGGGTTAACTCTGGTAGGAGGCTGGGCCAGAGACCCTCCGGATGCACTTATTTCATTTTCTATTTCAGGGTATGAAAAGAATTAGTTATAAAACTTTAAATGCTGGGTATTAATTTTTTATATTGGGCGTGTTAAGTGGTAAGGGAATGAGTCAGTTACGCAGCTCTGTGGCATGGTGGGACTGCAGGCACAGGTATGGCGGCAGCACAAGGAGGGCAGGGCTGTGAGTGCTGGTTAGTACGGGTCTGCCTCCGCATGCACCCCAGGCCCGTCTGCACCCCGCTGTGCTGCAGCGCTGTGCCCGTGCTGGTCTGCAGCACCGCTGAGGCTCCAGCCTTCGTGGTGTACTCTGCTCCTAACTGCAGCTGCACCAGGCTTGGGGGTACCAGTACAGCCAGTTCTGGTGCTGCTTTGCTGGTTAAATCCCCTCAGAGCTGTGATGTTCAGAGCCTTTGAATGTAGCTGGGCTTGACGAAGTGTATCAGGCACGTGAGGGGTGATGTCACCATTTGCACAACTGTAGTGAATTTTTTTGTCTTATTAGGGATGTGACAAGAAAGCCATGGTTTGGGATATGCGGTCTGGTCAGTGCATCCAGTCATTTGAAACCCACGATTCAGATATCAACAGTGTCAGGTCAGTATGTTTCTGGGAGAGGACACATTTGCGACGCTGAGCAATGCGCTGGTTCTATTTTTGAAGTCTGACCTCATTCAAGTAATGTAATGTGTTCTGGTCTTTTTTTACTCATGCACAGATATTACCCAAGTGGAGATGCTTTTGCCTCTGGTTCAGACGATGCCACGGTATGTTAATTCAGCAACCTAATTTAGGGAAGTTTTGTTAACTTCCCAAGTCAGATTTTCCTAAAAGACTAGGTCACATCCACAGAGGATTTTAAGTGACTAAACTGGGCCTGTGACACCAAAGTTGCAGAAATAATAATGCTATAATAGAATGTGTATTAAATTCTGTATATAATGCTATAGGGAAAATCTAGTAACACTTTGTAGGTCACCTCTGCAAACTTTTCTACATGAGGTACTGTCCAAATATTCATTTCAGATTTTCTGTGTTTTGAAGTTTCATGATCAAAATTAGTTGTCTTACTGGAAGGGATTTGGCTTCATATAGTTGTTGGTCACATGGGAGGAACCAGATGAAATGCTGCAGCTTGTGTCAGAAGGAGCAGTACGGCGCAAGGGTATGAAGGGAGCCTGCGCATGAGCGCGCACGTCCCGGCAAGCAGAGGGGCCATGGGCTCAGCACGGAGCTGGGCAGACCCTGGTCAGCTGGCCTCCGCAGCCCCGCGCATCCTGCGAGCGCAGCCCCAGGGTGGCCTTGGCCATGTACATCTCCTCCCCGTCAGCCTGACTCACTGCCAAGCTCTTCACCGCGATGAGTCACCGCATCCAGGTCATCCTAGATGATACAATAGCTCTCACTGGATCTTACTTATCTATGCGCAAGCTGCTAGGAGAGGCACAGTATGTATTAATGGGTAATTTTGGTCAGCATATTGTATGCAAAATGCCACTTGCCTCCTGGTGCCTTTGGGCCCCTGAGTGATGCACATGGCTGGTGGCTCTCGCTGCAGCTGGCAGGTCCCCATGGGGGGAGCAGGCTCTGCCTGTACCTGCAGGGACTGAGCTGGCAGTTAAGTGTAACTTGAGAGCAGACGTTTGGGAGGCACCTGGCACCTTGTTTCTCCTGTTTATTCAAACATCACACCTAGTTGCATGAAGGTGAAGACTCTTTCTAAAGTACTCTGCCCTCGGAGCATGTTTTGAGTCTGCTCCAATGCTAAATAAACTCAATAGAAACATTCCCTTAGTCTTCACTGGATGTGGAGACCTTCTAAGGCTCTTCTGGAGAGAGTGTACACTGCTTTTAGGTCTTAAAAGCTGTGATTATAAATTAATACCTCAAACTCTGTGGTGAGCCCAGTGCCTCTCCGCACATTCAGATGCAGTACTGTGAGCACTTGAGATGCTGAGGGAGTGAGATGGAGAAGTTGTCCATCATTGAATTCCAATGAGAGCACTCTCTTTTTATGCCCAGTACCACAGGCTCTGGGCTCCTGTCCTTACTAATTTATTTGATGGGTTTTTTCTCTCTTAACTATTTCTGACGCCCCCAACTTGAGCAGGTGAATGGGAAATTCCATCTCTGTACTTTTAACAGAGGTTTTGGCAATTTCCATCTACTTCATTCTTTAAATGGCGAAGTTGGTGTTTTCAGCGTTACAGACTGATAGGCTGACTGGTATCCTTGACCTGATTTATATACTTAGGGATTTCAAGGAACAGATAATCCTGACTGTCTGGAGGGAGGCCATAAAAGCGTGTCCACGTGGCAGTGCTGTCACCTGTGGTGACCGCGACTCCCTATCAGGACAGTCTGATGGAATTATTCATCAGCGTGGAGCACTGGGAGACCTGTACTTCACATACCTGGCAGCTCCCCACCGCCCTGCGAATGAAACAGCCTCTCCATTATGTGCAGGCTTGGGTATCAGCCATTTTTCATTCGTAAAGTCTTAATATTAGCCAACCCATCTGGCCAGGGTTTGCTTAAACTTAACTTGTTGAGGAAGGCTTTCGGTTCAAATCGTTTCAAAAGTGCATTTTGATTTCAGGGCTAACAGACTGCCTTTCTGCATGGCAATGAAGTCTGGTCTGTCTATACGTTATTTCCATGTTAAATAAGCCTAAGCATGCTGGCAAATGATAAAAATAGGAAGTGCAGGTTGTAGAGGTGGTTGGGGATTTTCCATGAGAAATGAAAGCCGAAGATCTGTATAAAAATGTATTATTTCACTTGAATTATTTTCACGTAGGTTTTTCAGACAAAGAAGCCTCACGGAAGGGCAGGGGCTGTTTGCTATCCTGTCTTACTCAGAGCAAGGACCACCATCTAGGCTTCCCCGTGCCAAGGGACTGTCTGAGCACTGTGCCGTGTGGTCCATATTCTCAAAGATGACTAGAGATTCAATCCTCTGTCTCCCAGACTCCAGCTGTGGCTAAACTGTTGTCTTTAGAGACTCTCTCCCCATGCACCTCCCCAGCAGCAGGATGCCCTAATACGTAGGCAACCACACTGGGGAAGCAAGAGGGTGGGGGGACTTTCAGTGGGTAGCCATGGTCGAAAACCTACCACTCACCTCTTTATAGCAAGACAGGCAGGAGGCTTAGAGAAGTGGTCTGGAAAATCAGGTTCTTCACTCAATTTATACAAAACAGCCTTGTGTTGCTTAGATCCCTGTTAGACTCCAGATGAGTCCCAGTTACAGCGGGCTGGGAAATAGCAGAAGGAAAGAAGCCAAGCAGCCGCTTCCCGTGATGCCTGTTAGGCTGCAGTCCTTCCCAATCCCATTTTTTCAATGAAATGTAGTAACCGTTGACTCCAGCCTTTACTGAGCCACGTGTGTTGGTTTTGTTTTAATCCTAGTGTCGTTTATATGACCTTCGTGCAGACAGAGAAGTAGCAATTTATTCTAAAGAGAGCATCATTTTTGGAGCATCTAGTGTGGACTTCTCTCTCAGCGGTGAGACCTGAATTTTGGAGGTTTTCTTAGTGTTGGGATTTGAGGGGAACTGTAAAATTTTGCCAGTTTAATTTGATAAAGCATTTGTTACTAAGAGTTATTAAAAGTAATACTACGTACCAAAAGAAACATTTAATGCATGGGAGCCTTTTTTTGCCTCTGTAAAAATAATTACTCTTTAAATAACCTAGCTGGCTATTGCTTCGTTGTAGCAATGAAGAGTATTTTCCTGGCCCTACTGAAGGCAGGAAATATTTTTGTCTTCGACTACAGCTGGGCTAGAATTTCACAATAATGATTAAAAACATTTCAAAGGAAACACGAAATGTAACTAGACTATTAAGTGCACTTACATAAATAGTTTATAAAAGGATAATAAATGATTAACAGATAGTAAAAGTATGTTAGAGGAGCATGAAGACAGAGACATTACTATTTTTCACTACAGGTCCGGAGACATGAGCTCGAGTCTTCTCTCTCCTGGCCCAGCGCAAACGCAGAGCTCCTTGTGTCACCCTGCATGGGGATGAGTGGGTGGTGAACTGCCCTCTGCCCAGGACAGAGGCAGATATCTCTGTCATGGTCACAAGCACCACAGCTTGTCCCGTTGGGGATAATGAATCACTTACCAAATTGTCTACTAATCATTCAACCACTTGTATTCGACTTCTTGAGTAAAGTCTGAGCAAAATATTATTACCCTGCTCTTCAGTCTGTCATGGAGTCATCCCCCATCTCTAATGACTGAACGGATTCTATATCATTTAACTCAATTTTAACTATATTTTTAACTAATAAATTTTAAGTGGTTCAGCATTTAGTATGGATAGCTCAGCAGTGGAGCAGGGGTGTCTAACAGGAGCACAGCTAGCCTGGGGGAAGCCCTGGTCAGGGCTCACTCTGTGCAGAGGGTGGCATGGGAAAGCTGGGTTGTGGCTCACTGGGTGATGAATGTCCTGCAGAAGGCCCTTGCTGCAGTCAAGACGTGTTACCTACTTAAGGCCTCACTTTGTAAAATCTCATTTTCTTTGTAGGTCGCCTACTGTTTGCAGGCTATAATGATTACACCATAAATGTCTGGGATGTGCTGAAAGGGTCCCGTGTATCCATTCTGTTTGGACATGAAAATCGTGTCAGCACCTTGCGGGTCTCTCCTGATGGGACGGCGTTCTGCTCGGGCTCTTGGGACCACACTCTCCGAGTAAGTGCTGGGAGCACCTGCCTTGGGTGCTTCTTTTTGTCGTGGTTTAACCCCAGCTGGCAACAGAGCCCCACCCAGCCGCTCACTCACTCTCCCCTGGTGGGATGGGGGAGAGAATCAGAAGGGTAAAAGTTAGGAAACTCGTGGGTTGAGATAAAGACAGTTTAATAGCGGTAAAGCAAAAGCCGCACACACAAGCAAAGCAAAACAAGGAATTCCTTC